AGGAGAGACTCCGGAAATCGGATCTTTGGTTGTTGCTTTTTTTTTCACCAATTACAAAAGCAGGTAAGTATCTACCAATTGATTACTTTTTCGATACTAAAAAACTTGAATATAGTTGAATTATAACTCTTGTTAGGGCTTCTTCTTTTCTAATTTCGATACCAATTGAATATATTCGAATATGGTGTGAAATTATAACTCTTGTTAGGGCTTCTTCTTTTCTAATTTCCACACGTATTGAAAATTTCATATAATATGATTGTTTGTAAATTGTAATAGTTGGACTTTAGAGAAATTCATTTTAACTAAGTGCGACTGCTTCATATAAGCTAATGGAAGCTTTTCAAATTGTCTTTGATTTCTATTATACTTGCATTTCATTGGCTTGTATGTTGGGAATATGTAAGTGATGAAAGGAATTCATTAAATCTATCTATTCTAATAAATGAATAGTTATATTTTCCTATTGACAAGCGTCATACTATTAGAACTCATCATTCATCTATTATGCCACTTGTCAACTTATTAATTATCCATTTTAAATTTCATATTTTAAATTTCTCACTCTAATTACAATAAATTAATAATTGATTCTACATTTTAAATTTTAAAGTTTTTCTCTCTAATTATATTAAATAAATAACATTAGATTAAAAAATAAAATAAAATTAATACAGATTATAAAGTGATATAACTTCACGTATTTATTTAAATCAACGATTATAATTTTATATAACTAAAAAATATCTCCTAAGTAATAATTTATTTAAAATAATTGATTAATAATTTTAATTTTTTAATATGAAAGTTTAATTTATTTTATAACCGTGGTTCTCACGGGTTTTTAACAAGTTGTGATATATAGTTGTAATGCATAAGGCTAGTGGGTGTGGTGTCATACTTGTCACGGTCTACGTAGGTGCCAAATCACACTTGCCACATTCTTAAAAAAATTTGCCATTTGGTAGGCATAGTTTGCCAGACTTGATATGCTATTTTTTTTTAATATACAAAATAGATAATTTAAACATAGCATTTTTTTGATATGTTATTTTTTTGATATGTTATTTTTTTAATAAAATTATTACAGATTATAAGGTGATATAACTTCAGGTATTTATTTAAATCAACGATTATAATTTTATATAACTAAAAAATATCTCTTAAGTAATAATTATTTAAAATAATTGATTAATAATTTTAATTTTTTAATATGAAAGTTTAATTTATTTTATAACCGTGGTTCTCACGGGTTATTAACTAGTGGTGATATATAGTTGTAATGCATAAGACTAGTGGTTGTGGTGTTACACTTATCACGGTCTACGTAGGTGCCACATCACACTTGTCACATTCTTAGAAAAATTTGCCATTTGGTAGGCATATGTTGCCAGACTTGATATGTTATTTTTTTTAATATACAAAATAAATAATTTAAAGATAGCATTTTTTTAAAAAACATAAAATTCATTAAACTTAAAGTAAAAATACAACACACCAAAACATAGAAATTCAAATTACAAACTTAGAAATTTAAAAAAACATAGAAATGTAAAAAAAAAGACAATAAAATTAAAAAACCTAAACTAGATGTTATATTTTTTTGCAAGCTCCTCTCTGGCATTTAAAGTCATTTCTCGTTCGCGTCCGGATAGCTCGTTTGTGGGTCTAGTTAAAATTGACATGACACGAGTTTTTTCTTTCTCTTGTGCAAAGTTCAAGTAGCGCTCCAAGGAAGAATTCAAATCGTCATTTTTTTTGTTGATAGTTTCTCGCCTTCTTCGGAAGTAGTTGTCGCCACTTTTCCCTTTCGTTTGGCCTTGTCTCTTCCCATGGGACGAGTGATTCATGAAACGTCAAATGGCTCCTCTTCATCAATCCCAATATGCGCATCGGACAATTTACTATTTGTCGTTTTAGACGTTTTGGTTCTTTTAGACAAACCACCCGTAAAAGTTGCAAAAGATGCCACATCCTGCCATATTTTTGACAATTTTACAATGTTCCAAACATGTAAAAATTTGAATGACGCCCCTTTTTATTCCCGGTACATGTGAAGAGATTTTGGCAAAATGGTTTTGTCATTTGCACCACTTTGTCATTGTCGTTTCACACTCGAAAACAATCCGTTTAGCTCCGTCACCACTTTGTTAACATTTCGCAAATTAGAATAAATTTGGTCTTTTTTCCGGTAATCACCAAGATTCATCTCGTTCAGAAACCGGTGCGTGATTTTCCGGAAGAAAGTTGGACAATCTTGGTTATTTTAGACCACCGGATCTTCAGAAACATCCACCCAAGCACGCGCTAACGTCTTTTCTTCGGCGGATGTCCATTGCTTTGGTGGCGCATTTCCACTTTGTTTTGGTTGTGGTGGATTCTTTTCCGGCTCAGATTCTGTTTCCGGGACGACTTCAGATTCCGCTTTAGTTTGAAATTCGGTTTGGTGGTTCATTGGGGAGTCGAGAAGATCATCAAATGGATTGAACTCATGCATCATTTGGGATGAGAAGTTCATTTGTGTTTGATTTTGAAAATGAAGTTGCCTTTGAAATTGTGGTTGGTTGTGGAATTGATGTTGATTTTGGTATTGTTCTTGATTTTGGTATTGAGGTTGATTTTGGGCTTCAAATGGGTAGTAAACACCACCAAAATGTAGATTTAGTGCAGAATAAATAAGCCGATCGTGTTGCTTTTGAATGAAAGTTGGTGAAAAAGGTGAGACGTTTGGGTTTTGAGTGTTTTGTTTGATATTTTTTTTGAACTTTTGGGTTTGGAGGAGGAAGCCATTTTTTTCAAAAAAAATTGAATGGTTTGAGTGATAATTTGAAGGTGGTGAATTGGGATAAAATATGGGAAAGAGTGGTATTTATTTAAGGTAAAAATGAAGGATTTTTGTTGATTTTTTTTTTGAAAAAACGGTCATATTTGACCATCTCCAGCGTTCACATTTTTATCCCAATACACCCTCTCTCCTTGGTGAAAGCTAGCCGAGTTGCGGAGCCGAGCTCGGCAAGCTGAGGGGTCCGCACGGTGTTTTCCGAGTTTGCCAAGGTATCCGAATTCCACACCGTCTAGCCTAATAGGTGTTTAATGAAATGCCTTAGTGAAAATTTGAGTTTATGATTCCTAACCGGTGAACAAGGGAAAATTCCAATTGATTTTTATGAAGAACTAGTTCATTATGAATTATGAATTATTGTGTGAGGTCTCATGATCCTATTTTAGTAGAAATTAAACTAGTTTATCATAAACTTTGTTTCCTATTTTTACAAAATACTTATGATATCAAGAACACTTTATGTTATACTCATTCTCACATAAAAAAGAGGTTCATTCTCACTAAGTTTTCTTATTATTATCAATTATTCTTAATGCTTCTCTTTCTTGTTCCGAAGTTATCAAGAACACTTTATGTCGTCACTAATACGTCGTCCCTATTGCCTCGTAGATATTGCACAAAAATTGTCACTAATGTCAATGTCGCCTCTATTGGTGTCGCCCCTATTGATATATGTCGCCCCTAATAGTGTCGCCCAATTTTTCATTAATTTTTTAATAAACAAGTATTGACTGCAAGATTACTCTATGACTAACTTGTTCATCATTCATGGAGTTCTTCATTTTTCTACATCTATTCCTTAAAAAGGTTCGTCATTTACATCCGCTTTGTTATCAAAAAAATCCAAAAAAAATTATTTACTTTCACATTACAAAAAAAGTCTATTATTTTAACTCTCTAACAATCTCTTTCTCTATAACTTTCTGTCTCTCAATTTCATAAATGTAAACCTAGTGAAGTGAAGGGGGTGCTTGAAGGTGGCTAATATCGGTTGACGGCGGAGATGTTGTTTGATGATGGTTGATAGAGGAGAATGGTGGAAGATGGGTGCAATTGTGGGTTTTCTGTTGGTGTTTGATGGTGGAAAATAGTGGAAGATGATGACGTGTTGCAAGAATAAGGTGGTTCTAGTGGTGGTGGATGGTGGCCAAGGTTGGTGGTGGTGGCAGCTGTAGTTTAGTTTTTAGAGAGAGAGAGAGAGAGAGAGAGAGTATTGTGGTGGATGGTATCCACGGGTGGCTTATAGATCACGAGAAAATAAAGTGGACCATTGGATTGTCTACAAGATAGAGGGTCTGAATTACACAAGACGAGAGCACAAAGATCGTGAGCAATAGTGGCAAAACTATCAGTGACGACGGTATTAGAGGCGTCACTTGCAAAGCATTAGCGACGATATGAAAAATGTAGGGGAAGATGCTATGGTTTTTTTCGTAGGCATTTGTGACGACACCAATAGGGCGACAAGAGGCATTAGTGACGACATTCCTTGGTGTCACCACTAATGCCTGTGTCATCCCTATTCCTATTTGGTGTCGTAAATAATGCCCAGCTTTCTTGTATTGTAATATGCATCTTCTTAAAATATGTAATATTTTATGGTTCAAAAATGTTGTTATTTTTTAGATGTTATTTGTTATTTTTCAAGATGTTAATTCTTTTTAGATTAAGATAATTATCCCCTAAAATACCCTTGACAATGACATTTATGTTATTATAACATTTATGTTATTATAAGACACATGTTATTCTATTTTATTAACATATACCATAAGATCATAGTCTTTTATTTTTTTCATTCATTGCATTAATTGGTCCAGCATTGTCGGTACTAGGAAGATGCTAATAAATCTTATATAAATAAGAAGATATAAAAATAGCGGAGCTACTACTAGAAAAAACATTTTTAATGACAGATGAATTCGTACTACAGTTTTATGACAGACAAAATAATAATAATAATAATATTGTCATGTTATTTAAAATATAAATAAAATATGATATAATTTCTTGTCTAAACTGAAAAAAGCACTTCATATGAAAGACGACTAATGACCTTAAAAAAACCCACTTTCACTCAATATCGTTTCCTTATAATCGATGCCCTTTCTATATATCGAACACTCAACCTCTAGAAGATGAAAACGACGAAAACCACATGCAATTAGTTTTACTCATCGGAGTTGTGATCGAGAAATCGACTCGGCATTGCCCGTCACCAGTCGACGTACGCCTTCGCACTAAACACAATATTGCTTCAGCTATATCTGCCTCTGATTGCTTCAGAAACGAACGACTCCACAACTCCAATGCTGGGCTCACAGGGTCAATGTCATCGTCGGTCACGCCATCAAGAAATCGACTGACGTTTTAGGGTTAATCCACCGGTATTGTGCCCAGGGCCTCAAGAAATCGATTCCACCACTTGATTTAGGGTTTATCTATTTCCCTACGTCGAATCCATTATGAAATTGACTGCGATTTAGGGTTTCTAAGTCAAAACATCAAATGTACGATTTTCAGATGGAAAAGCATTGGCGTCATCATCAATTTCATGCCCACCGGAAAGCTGGAGGGACAGAGAGATGGCATTTGTGATTCTCTATTTGGTAACAATTTCTCTGTACACGGCAATTGTCTCTGCCTCGAAGTGTTCAATCAACGGTCGGTTTTCACATTCAATTTAGATATTTAATGTTTGATTTATGTTTCATATACTCACCTTTATATCATAACTTAATTAATTTCGATGTTTTATTTCAAATTTCGTTATTCATTCATAGCATAATTCGTTCAAGTTGTTATGCAAATTTGAGATTTTTATATACGATTTCTCTATATGTTTGAATGAAATCTCTGTAACTAGTTTTCCTTGTTTGAGAATCCAATTTGATTTTCATTTCTGATTTTGACAAGCAGAAAAGTAGTTATTTGCAACCATATATTACTCTCATATACTTGTTTTGTTGATTGATTTAGTTAGATTCTTTGGTTTATTGTCATATTCCTGCTTGATGAATATTGTTTTTTTTTTTCTTATGAATGTGGCACTTACTATAATCAACACTGTGTTTGTATGATAGTTCTAGAAACAGTTGGAGGAAGAAACACTAAATTCTCAGTACAACATATTAGTAGCTTGAAACATACTAATGCTACCTTTTAACTAGTCATAGGAAAACCCATGTTTTTCTAAGTTCATGACATAATCTGATGATTAGGAACATCATGGCATAAATTAAATCATCACTCACATATCAAATGACATGTTATATACAACCACTTGACTCACTAAGTACAACCGATTGATCCACTAAATAACACTAAGTAAAAGTAAAAAGACTCTAGATTGGAATTACCTATCATGTTATATTCGTGTGCATTTGCTATTAAAAGGGAATGATAAGTTAAGAAAAAGGCTAGAGGTATGAAAACATTTTATTTCTGGAATCTTTTAAGTCTTTACTAAGTTTATAAAATTTCATATATATTTTGGGTTCAGAAGGCTCTAGTGGAGTTAATTTGCAGCTCTTTATGGCATCATGGACAAGTGTAGTGAAGTATAATGGCCCTAGATCATGTGCAAGGCCTAAACATATAAGTTATTAAATATTTGCATTTAGTTTTTCGTTATAATTATTTTATCTAATGAATTAATTTGATTTCAGTGTTTGTGGCTAACCATACATCAATGATTGATTTCATTGTTTTAGAGAAAATGACTGCTTCTTCTGTTATGGAAAAAACATCTCAGATGGATTGGTATGTAACTACACACAGTTTTCTTTCTTTATCATTTTAAAGAAAATGATTTATACAATGGTTTTTATAACTTCTACAAAGCACTACTTTGGATAGTTTAGGATGTATATGGTTTAATCGTTCAGAAGCAAAATATTGTGAAATTATAGCAATAGTCTATGTAAAATTGTAAGCTTATATGTCATTTTATTTTCATTTTATAAATTTTTAATAATTTTGTGACATGAGATTGTGATTTTAGGTTAAGGTAGCATACTAAAGGGGTTGACAACAATCCTCTCCTTATCTTACCTAAAAGAACTTGCGTAAAGAATTAATACACTATTATGTTCAAACAGGTACATTTGTTGATCTATATTGCATTTTCAACATTTTTTTTTTTAATTTTATAAGAAGTGAAAAATTCTTTCTTTTCCATTAAAATATTTTTAGTTTTAGTTATATATTTGATTTATTGGTAATTTATATATTATAGGGTGCATTTAAACTTACGTCCACTTGCCCAATTGCAATTAAGTACAACAAAATATTTGCTGATGCCTTCTCGATAGAAAAAACTAAGTATTTTTTCTTCCAATATTAATTTCTTGGATTAGTTTGTAACATCCCGACTCCCATGTATAATATTTATATATTTATATATGAGATGATTGATCAACTCGACGAGCGGGTGCCCCAACTCGTCGAGTAGAGACATTTTGATCATGTGGGTTTTACAACCAACTCGACAAGTCGGAGAGACCAACTCGGCGAGTTGGCGCTGTGAGAAGAAACCCTAGATCTCCGGAGTTGGGTCCTATTTAAAGGACCTTAAGCCCTCATTTCCGCCTCACCAACTACCTTACTCCCCAGAGTGAAACCCTAATCGCCTAGAGTGAGCTGAGAGAGAAAAGAGAGTTAATCTTGGGCATTTTTTTGATCTTTTGGAGGAGAAGTGGAGAGCATCAAAGCTTGGATTAAGAGGAGGCTTTTGGATCCAGAGATTCTTTAGAGATTTGCTTCAGTTGGAGGTAAAAAGATGCAAACTTGATCATTTCCTTATGAGATCTTGGTTTAGGGAGTTTTTACGGTTTTCTCCCATCCATCTTGTGTCATTGAGTCATTTGAGCATGGCGTGAGGTTGGAACCTCATATCTGGACTGTAGGAGGCCTTGTGAGTCCAAAGACCCGAGCTTTATTGAGCTGGAGGCAAGCTCTTGTGCATTTAACCCATGTTGGAGCTTGTATTGGCATTATGAGCCTAATATGCTATATATGAACGTAAAGCTTGCAGCTTTACGTGATATTCGAGCCTTAGGAAGATAAATCAGGAGTAAGGGGCATCAGTTCTGCCTTGAAACGTCTGAATGAGAATTCGACTTAAGGGACTCGACGAGTCGATGAGCTGACTTAACGAGTCGGTTGGAGTTTGTCCCGATGAGTCTGAACACGCTGTAACTCGGCTAGTGAGGGAGAAGTGTAACATCCCGACTCCCAGGTATAATATTTATATATTTATTTATGAGATGATTGATTAACTCGACGAGTGGGTGCCCCAACTCGTCGAGTAGAGACATTTTGATCACGTGGGTTTTACAACCAACTTGGCGAGTCGGAGAGACCAACTCGGCGAGTTGGAGCTGTAAGAAGAAACCCTAGATCTCCGGAGTTGGGTCCTATTTTGAAGGACCTTAAGCCCTTATTTCCGCCTCACCAGCTACCTTACTCCCCAGAGTGAAACCCTAATCGCCTAGAGTGAGCTAAGAGAGAAAATAGAGTTAATCTTGGGCATTTTTGTGATCTTTTGGAGAAGAAGTGGAGAGCATCAAAGCTTGGATCAAGAGGAGGCTTTTGGATCCAGAGATTCTTCAAAGATTTGCTTCAGTTGGAGGTAAAAAGATGCTAACTTGATCATTTCCTTATGAGATCTTGGTTTAGGGAGTTTTTAGGGTTTTCTCACATCCATCTTGTGTCATTGAGTCATTTGAGCATGACTTTAGGTTGGAACCTCAGATCTGGACTGTAGGAGGCCTTGTGAGTCCAAAGACCTGAGCTTTATTGAGTGGGAGGCAAGCTCTTGTGCATCTAACCCTTGTTGGAGCTTGTATTGGCACTATGAGCCTAATATTCCATGCATGAACGTAAAGGTTGTAGCTTTACGTGATATTCGAGCCTTAGGAAGATAGATCCGGAATATGGGGCATCAGTTCTGCCTTGAAACGCCTGAATGAGAATTCGACTTAAGGGACTCGACGAGTCGATGAGCGAGTTGGTTGGAGTTTGTCCCGTTGAGTCTGAACACGCTGTAACTCGGCGAGTTAACGAGTAAACTCAGCGAGTTGAGTTGGACTTTCATGAGGGTCTGAGGAACCGAAGGGACTCAACGAGTCGCATAGATGCACTCGACGATTCGGGTCAAAATGGACTGTTGACTCGAGTGTTGACTTCTGTTGACTTTAGGGTTTGGTCAAACTTGATGGATGGAGGTTATGGAGGGGTAAAATGGTCTTTAACCCATCCCAAGAGTTAAAGAGGGACTAACATGAGTTTATTTAGAGTTGTGATCTTTAAGTGTTAATTAGAGATGCTTATTACATGTAGGCGGGGATTAGACTGTTCGAGGGGTATTCAGTTTCCTTGCGAGGTGAGTCTTCTCACTATACTTACCTAGAGTGGTAATCTTTGTGTGACCGGAGGGTCTTATGTGCTTATATTGAGTATTATGATATCCTAGATTATGTATTTGTGATTTATGTTGTGTATTATTCTGAGCTTAATGAGCTAGGACCGGAGGGTCCACCCGAGTTGTGGGACCGGAGGGGGTTCCATTGAGGCACATTGACCGGAGGGTCTTATTCGAGTATAGCCATGAGAGGCGAATGAGATGTGTGTGGTATTTTGGGGAACTCACTAAGCTTCGTGCTTACCGTGTTATGTGTTATGTGTTTCAGATACTTATCAGGATCACGGGAAGGCGCCGACTTGATTGTACACACGAGGCGGAGTTGCATTTTGAGGATCTTGGATTATGTTTAAAACATTTTCTGAATATGTGTTTTTGAAAACATTGTCATTTGGGGTTTTGTGAATTATTTTATGAGAATTGCGTGATTTTAAAAATGAAAAATTTGTTCTAAAATTTATGGTGCTACATAGTTTATGTTATAGTTTTATCCCTCATTTTGCAGACAATCATTTACAACTCATTTATTACAGTTGATGACATCATGGGTTGTGGTTTGTGATGTATGGTACCTTGAGCCTCGAAATATGAAGCATGGAAAAATAGCTATCGGGTTTGCAAAGAGGTTTGTATATTTTGAAAACTTTGTTTTTTTTTTTTAAAATACATGGACGATGAAATACCATAATTACCCCTAGTTTATGAAGTTATTACAATTGTGTACCATTTCGTAGGGTCTGGGATCAATACTTGAAATACTCTAGTAGTAGCCCAAAACATAGGGAACACAAGTAAATTCAAATTGGGTGCTTATAGAGTACTAGCCATTCAAGCAACCACTATTACCTTGATTTTCTAAAGTATGCCAATATTGATACACAATTGAATGTATTATAATTTTTTATTTATATTTTGGCTAATCTATTAATTTTTGTCTCATTTGGTGAATAATGAATATATAAATGTCGAGTTTGATAAGGTGCGTGAAGATTGAGCTACTTATGTCGGAAACTTTATCTACCAGTGATATATGTATTTGACAATTATATTCTTATGAATTTGAAACTTGCTTCTGTATTTACACTATGATTTGTATAATGTATTCTGTTTTTGTACATATGATATTTTATTTTGCATTATGAGCCGTTAAATGTTTATTTTAGTTTGATTAATATCAGAGTGTGTGTGTGTGTGTATATATATATATACATATGTCGTAAAATTATGTCAAAATTCATGACGTACAAAATATGTCGTAGATGTTTGTCAATAGTTACAAAAATGTTATGAATTACGACGTACAAACTCACTCATAAATATATGTCGATAATGCATGTTGTGTATGTCCGTCGTAATTGTAGGTCATAAAGGTATGTCATAAATTTTATGACAGACCAAATGCCTCTCATTTTCATCCATGACATGACTTTCAATGAGAGACATTTGTCTGTCATGTATAGGCATTTACGACAGACATTGTCTGTCATAGAAAACCTTTTTTCTAGTAGTGTACATCCATCATGCCAATTCAACGAGGCAAATGTGAATCTACGCTTAATCCAATTAAATGAAATAAGTTAAATTTCATCCACCTATTTTCCATGGGTTAATATCTCACATTCTTGAAAATAAGGTTGTTCTGCGCATTCAATATGGACCACACCAATGTAAGCCAAAAGCTAAGAAAAGCTTGCATATGAATTTATCCAACTTCATGGACTTCACGGCCAAAAGAATAGATAAGTTATACATAGGACATGACAACAAGCTGGACCAAGTACAAAACCAGCCCTAAATCACCTCAGCATAATTGCACCAAAAAAACAAATGCTCCCCACATTCCTTGACTTGCAAACAAAAGGCACAAAAAGAAGACTTCAAGTGTATACCTCTCACGACAAGATTACAAGCCATCAGTATCCTGTTAATAAACAAACCCCAAACAAAACAGTTCACCTTCAAAGAAACCCACTTAAGCCAGTTGAACGTGTAGAGATTATCAATCAAATCAGCCTCCACCATGTTAAATCAAAATCAAATAGAAAAAGAATAAAATCTGCAAAGTGGGGGAAAAAAACTTAAAAAATGGAGCATCATAACAAAAAAATTATGAACCCCACACGGACCACTTTTCTAACATGGTTGACATGAAACGTACTGATCATTGTTAAATTTTTAACACTTGCAGTATTTTAATAATTTAAAATTAATTTATTACAAGAGCAGTGAGATCACTCACATAAACAAAATGGGATAAAGAATGTTTTTGATATCACAGTGGAACAAAATGGGAAGGATCAAATAATATAAGAATTTACGTCTACTCTCACTATATAAACGCCGACTTCTTAAGTTCAATATATCTACATGCAGGGAAAAGGATTTGCACACTCATAGATGATGCCAAAGCAGCCCAAGCGTGGACACCACACACCTTGGTTAACTTGTATTGGAGTAACCAATGGGAAGTTTACTTGGAGCTTTCAAGTGGCACGAGCTCCACGAGAAGCCATCCTCCAAAAGAACTATTTGTTTGATTATAGCTAGTTTCAGTATTTTATTAATCTATTCTTAAATAGAATATTGATTTATTCGTGTGAACTCATTAGCTACCATTTATTCCTTAATAGATTCACAACTGATTTTTTATTCGTTGATCTATAATTTGGATAAACTTGTATTTGAAGTAAAAAGAATATTTGTATAAATATACCAACTCATTATGTTAACTTTCCCATTAAATTTATCTGCAAAAAATCATGCCCACTAGTAGAAGAGAAGGAAAAGAAAAGATGCTAGCATTAACCCCTCTATTCTCAACTACCTATGGATGGCCCTCAGAGGATCTCATCCAGAAGAATGTTGAACTGGACTGCAATAATATTTCTTTGGAAGTTGAAACAAATTCATATGATCCTTTTCTTGATTTTCATAGATATGATGACATCCAGCATGACTTTTTACCTGTAGAAAATTCCATATCTGCTGGAGGGCTTGTAAATGGCGATTCCACTGATCCTTTCATGGTGGTGAAGAAACTCAATCATAATGCCAGTGAAAGACATCGTCGTAAGAGGGTGAACGACTTATATGGTTTCCTTCGTTCACTGCTACCCATTTCCAGTGATCAAAAGGTGCTTCAACATCTAATATGTTGTGATATGAAAGTGAGAATTTCAATAGTTAATATAATTTTCGTTGTCAATCTGGATGCATGATCTTTTATATATATATATATATATATATATATATATATATATATATAAAGACCAAAACAATCTACAGTTCTACATGTGTTAACATATGACTGACATTTGAGTTGCATGTAGCTTAATTCTTGTAGTGACTTATTTTATTCAGTGGGCTTAACTCTCTTTAATTTGCCACAGAAAAAAGTAAGTATCCCAGGGACAGTATCTCGTGCAGTTAAGTACATACCGGAACTAAAGAAGGAAGTAGAGACATTAATACACAAAAAAGAAAAGATTTTGGCATATTCGTCATCTGAAGCTAATTTGAGGCAAGAACATGTAGCAACGAAGAATAAAAGTGGTAAAGATGCAACTATCGAAACAAAATCATGGGTCGTTTCTTGTGTAAGAATTTTAGGAGTGAAAGAAGCTGTTATACAACTGATTTCTGCAACTGATGATATGAGCAAGGGTGGGGATATTGGCCTATTGTCTGACGTTTTGGAATACTTAGAGCAGGATGAAAATGGGTTTGTTTTACTGAATGCAACTTCATTCAGATGTTCAGGAGACGGGATGTCATTAAGCACTCTGCATCTTCAGGTACATAAATGGTCTTCCCTCCCACAAATTTCAAATAATTTTAGCGATTATGTAACTTCATCCAGAATATATGGCTATTCTTTTCATGGAAAAAATCATACACATTATAATTACATGTATATATTGTAACTAATACTTTATGGAAATAGCTATAATACATCTTTGTGTTAAACAGGTGCAAGGTGATAATCGCATAGACTTTGAAAGACTGAAGGAGAAGCTTAGCTCTTTCCACCATCAATCAGCTCGAGATTTACGCTAATTAGGAATAACTATAAAGATTATGTCTAGCTAGTAATTAGCAAGCTTTAGTTTTGACAGACTAATGTTGCGGTGTTAAACTCATAAAACTCGCTTTTATTTAAACAGAATACAAATACATTTGAAACCTCATTACAAGATTTGCTCACATTTAATCAAACAAAGTTTAATATAACAATCATGCAAAACTGTAAAGAAAGACGACCGAACTCTATGAACAAACCCTAATCGTATGAACAAACCCAAACTATAGAGAGAAGTGGTAACAAGTCTGTAAAGCGTGTGAAGAGATAATGAGAATAATGAACGAGTTCTCTCTTCGGTCTTCACTATAAACACAGGTCACAAAAGAGTGAAAGACGGTCTAAATGTTGGTTCAGGCCCTGTTTCACACAGCAAAAACAGAGTAAAAAAGAAAGAAGATACGAGAGAATTTTTCTGTATTTATTCCAATACTACAATCAATCGATTACAAGGATATTTATATAACATACTTTCAACTAATTGTCCTAAAATGACTGCATCTACTGCCTACTAACTCTCTGGAGCCAAACGTGGCTATTTACTTGGTCATACTCCTAACAAAAGACTGAATTGCCCCTAAATAAAATACATGGCTTTGACCTGGTTTGGAATAACACCAACATTCTCCCCCTTATTCCAAACCATTTCTGCCAAAATTCTTTCTTTCTCTCGGTCTCTTTGTCAGGTAAACTGTCGGTCTCGTTTACCTCTTCGGTCTTCGGTGGTCTTCGGTCTAGTAGCCACCCGGTCTTGAAGCTTCTCATTTGGTCTCGCTTCTTTCTTTCTTCCTCGATCAAAACAGATCGCTCTTGCTGCTCGCTTTCTTTCTTGTCTGCTACTTGCTACAGACTACATGCTTGCTATCTTGCAACCGGCCCTTCCTGCGTCTTAATCACTTGCTGCTTGCTTTAAGAACACAAAGTTCTTATATCTTGCTCTTGCCAAACTTTCTATTTTCTTGTGATTACCAAAGGCGATCACACTTGCTGCTTCGACCTGCTTGCTTGTTTTCTTCCTCAACAGCCGTCTTCTGCTATCTCTGGGATCGAACAACCACAACCAGATGAACTTTCATCTGGTTTGATCCTCCTTTCTGTGTTTCTGTCTTTCTCAAGAAAGCAACATCCAACAGGTTGCATGTCACAATCTTCACCTTGCTGCTTGCTTTTTTTTCTCACATAAGCAAGCAACTGCCCTCTTCTTTCTTCTTTCTCCTTTCTTCTTTCTTCTTTCATCTTGTCTTTCTTCTTTCTTCTTGTCTTTCTTTCTTTCTTCTTTCTTCTTTCTTCTTGTCTTTCTTCTTTCTTTCTTTCTAGCAGCCTTCGCTGCTGTAGCAGCCAATATTTAATTTGGACTCAAAGCTGCTGCACACTCTGATCAACAACCACGATCAACCTTGCTTCTTATCTTCCTCTTGACCTTTCTGTCATAGAATTGGTACTCGGGCTTCCAAAGCTTCTGGGGTTTTCACTTGACTCAACCCCTTCATCTTCTTCTTCTACTTCTTCTCCAGCTTCACCATTTTATCTGCTGATCTCACTGGCTTCTTCTTTTCCGTTCTCAGCCCTGCAGCCAAGGGCTGCTCCTCCTTTCTCTACACCGACTCTCAAACCTGCTTCAACCTGCTCTGCTACCAAATGTTGGTTCAGGCCCTGTTACACACAGCAAAAACAGAGTAAAAATGAAAGAAGATACGAGAGAATTTTTCTGTGTTTATTCCAATACTACAATCAATTGATTACAAGGATATTTATATAACATACTTTCAACTAATTATCCTAAAATGACTGCATCTACTGCCTACTAACTCTCTGGAGCCAAACGTGGCTATTTACTTGGTCATACTCCAAACAAAAGACTGAATTGCCCCTAAATAAAATATATGGCTTTGACCTGGTTTGGATTAACACCAACAACCCAAACCAAACCCTAGTATCTGACATAGCACTAGTAGAGAATCATGATTTTCTGATGGAAGAATCCGTGGGTAATAGCCTTTACCAACGGATTTCCAACAAAATTCATGCTGTCACATTTTTACTCATGGGTAAACTTTACCGACAGATTGCAGTCGGAAATACAAACAAAATACCCGCAGATTTAGTTGTTGCAAATTTACCGACGACATTTAGTTACCAACGGAAGTGACATATTTATAACGGGACGCAATTTAACCTAGTTTGACGATTTTATTAACAAATTTCCTAACAGGACCCAATACATTAAACCTAGAATAAAATTACTATTCAACCACAAATTAAACTGATAAACATTACAATAAACTTTGTCAGTTATAAATATGTACTTTGCATTTACTCATATTTCATTAAGAGCTGATAACTTAAATACAAGCCAATACAATTCATACATTTACAATGTCATGTTTGTCAACATTCGCTGTTATCTAGTTCATTTGTTCACATACGAAGGTTACCAAGCAATATGTACTTCTATAAATAATAACATGAGAAGTTTTAGTATTCAAAATCCCTTACAACTAATCACCAAGCATGTACAATTGCCCCATAATATGACCAAGTTACATAGTTGTAACCTGGAAGCGAACCAAATAAAAGTAATATCAACACTCTCGGCCTTGTTTTGCACCCATAATAAATGGATTTAATTCGTATATTGATACCAAAAATTTAGTTTTTACCTCCTTCAACGAAATTAGAAAATTCAGAGTAGATGGAGGCGGTAGTAGAGGCGGATAGTGGAGAATGGCAGTGGGAGCAAGTCGAAGATGATGAGGTGGCATATTGCGGTGACACTAACCGTCTTCAATGTGTATCGGCGACAAGGTGGACCGAAGAGGGTTTCCAGCAAGGCAGAGCTTTGGTGGATCAGTGGTAGCCAGGTCAACCGGTCAACCGGTGCTGGATACTAAATCGATGATGGTGATGGCAATGGCATATGAGAATGAATATGGTATGCACCCTGATTTCAAACCCTGGTGTAACACTAGAGTTCCATGTAATTTTAGTAATGGCCCAATTTCCTTAAAAGTTACAAAATTGGTCCCTACGTTAGGCATACGGGTTGGGTATGTCGGGCATAGGACCTTAAGTGACGATCGTGGACCCCCCCTCACGTACGATGGGCGTACGTGTGTGTACGTTGGGCGTACGCAAGCAGAGGGAAAACCCTAATTTAAGGGGTTTGGACCCTATTTAAAGGACATTATGGACTCTAACCCTTTCCTACCTCCAACCTCCATCTCTCATAGCCTCCATTTCGAAACCCTACTTGTGTGTTTGTGTGTGTGTTTTGAAGCCTTAGAATGTCATTTTGGTGTTCTTGGCGGTGAAGGAAGACTCTTGGAATTGTAGTGTTTCACTCAAGCCTTTGGGATCCAACAATTACTCATCCTATTGCATCTTCTGGAGGTATAAAGCTTCAACCTTGATGCATATTCCTTTAGATCTTGTTCAAGCTTAGATTTATACCTTTTTTTCCCAAAATCTTGATCCTTATGAGTATGGAATACTCCATGGCCTTTAAGCTGTCCTTTCATTCGTTTTGGGGTGTTTGGTGTTATAAAAATGCAAGCTTGGGCCTTGGTTTTCATCCATGCAAGTGCTAGGGAAGTTTAGTTGATAATTTAATTTAGGGTTGTGTTCTTATCTTCCTTGTTCAATGAAAAGGCATAAAGGTTACAACATTATGAATTTAGACATTTATTGGATGCTAGATCTGAAGTTTGGATGTTGGGTCTTAATGCATTAAGACCTTAATAGAGTTTGTGGAATCTGACAAGTACATTGGGCGTAATCAAGGGTACCCTGGGCGTACCTAGTTGTGACCCCGTAAGCCTTCCGAGGACAAGCTGTACATTAAGCGTAGCACGGTGTACGTCGGGCGTATGCTCACGATGCCTTTTTGGGCCATTTTGGGACTTTGGGTCACTAGGAAGTTTTTAGGCTTGGTTGGTTGGGCCAAGTATGGATGGGCAAAATGGTCATTTCCCCTTGGTAGGATAAATTTATATTTAGACCAATATTTATGGGTTAAACCTCGATTAATTAATTAAGGTTATTATTGGGTTATGATTAGTGTGAGGAGCCGTGTCAGTAGCAGCCCGAGTGTGCGATATAGTTTTCTTCTATTAGAGGTGAGTCTTCTCACTGTATCTGTAGGTCGAAGGCACCAATGTCGGCCTATTATTTTGTTATGTAGAATGCTAACTGTTATGTGACTTTTATATGCTTGCATGATTGGGTAGAAATAAACCCCAGGGTTGGGACCATATTTGTTGATCGGGTTGAAATAAACCCCAAGGATGCACCCATCATTATATGACCGGGTTGAAAAAAATCCCAGGGTTGGGCCCATATTTGTTTGAACCGGGTTGAAATAAACCCCAAGGTTGCGCCCATTATTATAGGATCGGGTTGGAATAAACCCTAGGGTTGGGCCCATATTTGTTTGATCGGGTTGAAATAAACCCCAGGGCTAGGCCCCAAGGCTGGGCCCATATTTGTTTGACCGGGTTGAAATAAACCCCAGGGTTGGGCCCATATTTGTATATAGGGTTGGAATACACCTCAGGGCTAGGCCCAATTTTATTTTTGGTATGTGTTACTTTGGGGATCTCACTAAGCCTTGTGCTTACAGTTTATGTTTATGGTGTCAGATACTTCCGGTACAAAATGGAAGGGTACGACATGATGATACAACATCCTTCCTTCATGATTTCTTTACTTTTTGGATACTTATACCCTGAAGTTTTGGATATTCTACATTGTGATTGTCTTGGAACAATTTGATGATTGAAACTACTAAATTTAATGAAAATTTCTATTACTGCTTTGGGGATGTTACACGATCTTATTAAAGCCTTGGTTTGATGGATTCGAGCAAACTTTTGGTGTGTCAGAACTCAAACTGTGGAAATGATAATCTTTACAAAAGGGAAAGAAGTTGAATTTGTAAAATAATTTTTACTAAGTAAGAAGGGGCGCAATGCGTGATATC